CGATTGGCACAGGACAGAGCAGAGTTTAGGGCTGTTGTACATAGGGTCGCTATGAGTCGCAGGCGACTCGACGGCACATAACAACAACAACATATTTGCTGTTTGGCCTCCCTCGCGTGGACAACCAATTGAGCCAGAGGGTCAGTGCTGCTATGACCCAGAGGGTGGAGAGCAATGTATAAGCAGAGAGAAAGCAACTTCTGTTCAAGCAGGGTGAAAGTTCTTCAAAGCAAAAACTGAAGATGTTGGCAAAAGAATGATTATAATGATTGACCAGGAAATCGAAATTGGGTTGGATAGAAAATGATGACATGATGGCAATTAATCACACAGGAGGAGATTGCCCATCCTCCTGTGGAGCAGCTGGTGGTCTTGAACCACGTGCCTTTTGGATTGCAGCTCAGCCTCTTGGCACTAGGCCAAAAACAAGAAGCAGTAATACATTGGGGGGGGGCGGGGTGAAATATAACATTGGGATTCATGGATTGGAGGTCTCAGTCAGGCCATTGAGAGAACAGCAAATGACCTGAAGGTAACAGAGATGTTGGGACTGACAAGTGGGATGCCTGGAATTGAGATTTAGGAGGTTAAACATGGTTCATGGTTTTACTACTTACCTAGCTAAGATGAAGGAACAAGCCATTGCAGATGAAACTCGAAAAGCTCAAACTCATTGCCACCAAGTTGGAATCAACTCACAGCTCACCCTCTAGAGGGTTTCTGAAGCTGTAAATAGTAAAGGAGAAGATTGCCCATTTTTCTACCTCCGGGCAGCTGGTGGATTCAGCCAGAGAAGTGCGGCCTTTGAATTGGCCGCATAACTCTCTACAAACTAAACGGTCCAAGCTCCCTGCAGATGAGGTCACAGATGTTATGTGTTAGATAGGCCATGTCAAGTGTTAGCATTTGGTGAGTGTCCTGGCTTTGGCCTCCCTCTCCTGGACAACGAATTGAACCAGAGGGTAGAGAGCAATTTCAGTGGTTCTTGAGAGAGCGGCTCAGCGTCACAGCCTCAGAGACTTCAACAGCTAAGTTTAGTGCTGTCCAACTTGCTGAGAAAGAAGTCGAGGTGATCAAAGTGGAGGTAAAAATAGAGGTAATTTATTAGAGACCGTGAAAGTAAGTTCAAGAGAAAAGAACACATTTTCCCTCTCTGAAAGGAAAGGAATGGAGGTGACATTGGAGTCCTGGGGTCACAGGCCTTTGTAGCTATCTTCTTCTTCCTTTCGGAGCCTGCAAAGCATGTGAGTGGACCAACAGAATGGTGGAAGTTCCCACTCCAGTCAGCTGTTCATGATGTCACATAGTCCCACTTGCTTTAAATACTAAATAGGTTGTTCTGCTTTTTGGTTGTTTTTTGTTTTCGTTTTTTTTTTTAATATGGGCTCAGGCTATGCTTTAATAGGTTGACAAGGCCCAGCTGAAACTTGAAGGCACTTGAAGATTTTTTTGCTTTACCTGTAAACTCCTTGTGGTTTTGCCCAAAATTATTTAACTACTATCCAACACTTAAGGGAGCTTTGGTGTCCTAGTGGTAAGAAACTACATTGCATCCCAAAGGCACATAGTTCAAATCCACCAGCTGCTTGGAAAAAGGATGTGCCATCTCCTCCTGTGCAATTTACTGCCTCTGACAAGCTGCTGAAGGGTCAGCTATGCGTCAGTTCTGACTCCATGACACACAACAACACTCAACTCCTAACTTAGACTGGAGAACAGAGATGGTGAGGAAAGCCTACATCAGGGAATTGTTGTTAAGTGCCATCAAGTTGACTATGACTCCTCGCAGTCCTATAATAGATCTGAATCTTGTCTTGAAGATCCTCAACAAGGTGAAATGACACAGTGACTACAATGGGCTTGAGCATGAAAGAGATCTTGAGGGAGGTCCAGGAATGTGCAAAGAACAAGGAAATGCAGTCCATAACTTCTGAGAACGTGGTCAGAAGGCTAGTCAGTAAGACATAAAAGAGGTGGAGGATGATTAACTCGGGAAATGCAAATATTTTGAAGGAACGAAGAGGAATAGTTTAGAAGCATTGGGAACAAAAGGTCACCCAGAAGTTACAGGCCACTTTCTTGGTCTTATATAGATTATGAGAGGGGGGAAAAAAAAAGGAAAAAAGTTTTTTCTTCAGACTATCAAAGATGAGTTAAAAGCAAAACTACTTTCATCACCCAAACTAGTGGGGCTGGGAATTTACTTAAATGAGTCTAGAATGATCCCACGTCTGAATATGGTAACTGATACTTGTGGAAGCTCATAAAGAGCAACCTCATTGTCTGACAATATACATCAACTATGTCTTCTGTGGAAAGGAACCTGAGCGACTTCCTATTGCTAGTGTCCACGGGTAAGATAACGAATAAAAAAAGAATGAAATGGTTGTCTTTTCCTCAAGGGACATTCATTTCAAGCATCTGGAATGTAGTTCTTTGTGCATCACTTATTTTGACTGGTGGCCCTTAGGGCACAATACTGTGTCTCCTTAAAATAACTTTCATACTCAACAGGTGATTTTTTTTTTTTAAGCACATGGGACTCACAGGATGAGTTATTGTCTCCAAGGATTAGCTGTCTGGAAAATTTCTGGTGCAAAGGTTCTATGAAAAAAGCAAAGTGCCTGTGAGCTATCCCTTTCTTCGGGTGGCTTTCCTAGGCAGCTAGCTCTGTGTTGCCTAAGCATGAAGACAAAAAAAAAAAAAAAATTAAGTTTATCTTTAAACATCAAGAAGCCTTCTTCTCTAAGGACTCACTTAAGGGCCTTGACTGCCATGTACCTCACAGCTGTCAGGACCTGGGCCCCTCCCTGCACCCTGCCCTAATCAGATCAAAGTTAACCTTGCTAACCCTGATTCTGATCCTCTTCAGTTGGCGCAACAAAACTACCTCTTAAAATTGTTAATGTTAGGCCAAAGCCAAACTCTCTGACTAGGATGATCTGCTAATTTAAACAGGCTAGAACAGACACATGAACTTTGAGCCTTAAAGAGAGAGATACTGCTCAGTTATTTATTGCTTTGTTCAGACACTGGAAGAAATCGACACCGCAGGGGTGGTAAATTATTGGGAAATGCTACAGACTGGGACTTCCCCCCTGCACCACATTTACTGCAAAATCATCCTCTTTTGCCTTTCTAATTGCTTCTGTGAAGATACACTCTAGCCTACTTGCTCGAGGAAGCTATGGAGAGTTTAAAAAAGGAGATATCCTAAAAGCCTATACAAAACGGCACACTACTGAAAATGTAATTTTTCATTTTTATTCTCATGCTTAATTTGGTGGCTTAAATGTATAGTTTTAAGAAAACAAGACTGCCTCTAGGAAAAGAATCCTATTTGCAGTAAATAATGTTTCCTCAATTTGAGCAAAATAAGATGGGACTTAATTCACACAAAACTTTGCGTGACCGGTTTAACTTAAACAAGCATGAAAAAATAATTAAAATAGGCCAGCTTTAAAAAGTATGCGTATAAAGCAGTTTAGAAAGCACCGTGTGGAGGTCAAATGGGAGAACGATGACACCTTGACATGTATTTAGGGGTTTTATTCACGGCAAAAAGAACGATCTTGAGGTTTCACATATTCCACAGAGTGCCGAGTATTTTTACCTTCCATGGTGTTTTCTGGAAGGTATCTTAATTGGTAGTAAATTCCTGACCTTCTGGCGGGTTTTAATTTGGCTCAGTCTGATTCTGATTAGGGTCATTAGGGTTAGATTAGGCTTAATCAAAATTGAAATCTACTATGTATGCACCTTGTCAATTGCATTAAATTGCCAACTGGGAAGCCCTTACATGCTTTGTTGTATTTCACTGTATTGTTAAACGTGAGTTGGGGTAAAATACTTTTGGAGGCAAGCATCCGAGAGACCGTTCTCTACAAAAACATAGGCATGTGTCTTGCACCCACTGACCAAATGCAATTTAGAAATGCCTCAACCTTTAAGCTAAGAAGGGAATGGAAAATTTTAACAGTAAAATTGTCACAAACTCAAAAACCTTTTTAAAAAATGCTCAGTATTAGAGGTCTGGACGTTGAATTTCGGGAACAAAAGCGTTGGCAAGCAGTAAAAGGGGGGTTCAGTCGATACCGTCGCGCCTTGTACCCCAAATAAATCATAGAAGCGCTTACAAACATGCCTCGTTTCCTTCCCCCCCCCCCCGGGGGGTTATCGTTTTGGGGGAAAAAAAATCTGAGGTCGTTTATGGGTGAACCAGTGTCCTGAACTGAGAAAGGCCCAGCAGAGGGTCCTCACTAATGAAATGAAATTCAGGTCGTTTGGAGGCGATCGACCCCACCGAGGAAAGCGTCTTCCCAATCAGGGGAAGAAAAAGGAAACTGCGTACAAAAAAAACCCCTAAACCCACTAGAAGGAGTCTCTTATCGGAGTGTAAGGGAAGGGTGGAGAAAAGGGAAACAAACGGGCCGAGCGGCTCCGCCAAGGCTGCGCCTCCCGCCCGAGCGCCTTTTAAACTGCGTTTCTACACCCTTTCGCACCGCGCCGCGGCTAATGGAACCCGCGCGAGCCGCCCCGCCAATCACCGCCGCGCTTCCTCCGGGCGCCGGCCAATGGCGGCGCGTGTTGTTGAGGCGTGGGCGAAGCAGGGTGCTCTCCGCTCGCTCGTAGTGTGTGGGCAGGGGTTGGTGTCTCGTTCTATTTTGGCCGTACTTCCATCGTAGTTCTGCTCTGGGGGCTTTGTGTGGGGGTCTGGCTTCGCTTCGTGCCCAGGAGTTTTGGCTGTGCCCCCTACCTGGCGGGAGCCGGGAGGGCTCGAAGGAGGCAGCGCGGCCCCCGGGGAGCGGAGAGCGAGCCGGCGTGAGCGGCGGGTCGTGAAGGCTGCGGGGAAGGGGATTTGCCGCGAAGATGCCCGAGTTCCTGGAAGACCCCTCGGTGTTGACGAAAGAGAAGTTGAAGAGTGAGTTGATCGCCAACAATGTGACGCTCCCGACCGGAGAGCAGCGCAAAGACGTGTACGTGCAGCTCTACCTGCAGCACCTTACGGCGCGCAACCGGCCGCCGCTGGCCGCCAGCGTCAACAGCAAGGGGCCCCCTGACTTCTCCAGCGACGAGGAGCGTGAGCCCACCCCGGTCTTCGGCTCCGGGGTCGCCGCCGCGGGCCGGGGCCGCGCCTCCGTCGGCAGGGTAAGGACGCCCGCGCTGCCTGGCCCCGCGCCCCTCGGGTCCACAAAGGCGGGCAGTTGGCGGTTGTCGCGCGCTCGCCCGCCTCCCTCCCTTTCCTCCCGGGCTTCCCTTCGGGCCTCCCCGGCGACGGGGGGGTGGGGGCGCCTCGTCTCCCAGCTCGATGTGTGCTGGCTGCGGCCTCGGGTTCCTCGGCGGCGGGGCTGCAGGCGTAGCGCAGGGCGGGCGCCGGGGCGGCGCGTCCCGAAGTTGGACGCCCGCAAGTTTGTGTGTTTGCGCTGGTTCGTTTGCACCGGGGCTCCCCCGGTGTTTCTTGAACGCCGGCCCCCCGGAGTGGATTAATTAGACCGGACTCCGTGCGCTTTTCAAAAGCTTGCGGGGATCAGCCCTAGAACGCGATAGGTTACCTTCCGGCCTTTTCCCGCTTTGTGCACCGAAGGGACGAGGAGCAGTTGCAGAGCGCTCCCTGGAGGGCAATCTGGGACATACTCGTTTCTCCCCCGAAATTTGAAATGGACAACTTCCCGCCTTTTTTATATTTGTCACTTTTGGAGGGCTTTTTGAACCGTTTACATTTTTGTTTGTCTTACTCTCAGCCACACATCATCCTGCGGGCAGGGGGGGGGCTTTACATTAAAGGGAGCATTTACAAATTTTTAAGGGTTTACTTAAAAATGCGTTTTTTAAAGAGTTAACTCATAAACGTTCAAATATTGGAAAATTTTAATAGAAGTCTTTATTTGCTAAATATTTCATGAGAGAAGGAAAGACTTAAGAATACGAAAAATGTTGATTGCATGGCATTCTTTTTTTTTTCCCCCCCCCCAATTGCATGACATTCTTATATGGCAGCTTTGGGAGAGTGCCGAATCCTAACCAAGCCTTGATTCTCGATAAAGCGTAAACTTCCATCAAAAGCATGTTCTGAGAATAGGTTTTGTTCTGTATATTGTTACCTATTTGTTGGTTTGAAGCAGCCACATTACTAGATGGCAGGTTCTAAGAGAATGTAGTTAAGATTCTTTGGAAGATACAGACTGGGAAGCTAGGAATTGTTGCTACTAGTTATGCAGGATAAGGCAAGATTGTTTCTCTATCTTCCAGAGTTATAACTCTCCATGTTCAGTTTTACTTTTAGCAAATCTTTGTTTTTCTTGATTATTCAGTTGGAGAAGAAAGCCGAAATACGTGGGGAAACCTGGTCTTTAGAGAAATTGGAAATGTTTGAAAGAGTCGATTCTAGGCACATGTTGGTGCCAGATTGTTGAATGTTCAGTAAATAAATGAGAAGCCAACTTCATCTTCCTGATCACTTGTGTTTGTGGGTGTGAAGAAAACCACTTTACCCTTCCATGCTAAACAAGTTTTCTTTTTCGGGGAAAGCATATCCCATGCTCATTTTCCTCTCTTGAAAAATAAAGAGTAATATTTACATTTTTTTAAGTAATTTGAAGCTGCATACTTTAAAAGCCTGTATTGATCTGTGCACCTCTATTACTGAGTCATGGTATTTTTTTATTATATGTCTTACAGCAATTGTTCTGTTATTTTGGTTTTTATTGTGTTTTCCCCCCTTCCACTCTGTAGAATAGAATGTCTCATTGTACCTGCTGTTTGGGAAATGAGAAGATCTGTATATATGTTCAATAATCCAACTTTTTTGAGCGCCTGCTTGCAATTTACTTGATGAT